TTCATTGATATATATATATATATATATATACATATAAATTCAAAATTTCTAATATATTTAGAGATAATATATATATATATATATATATATATATATATATATTGCTATTGAGATAATATATATTTTTTAAAATATAGAAAATTAAAATTTTAATTGGGCCTATTTGCTAATCAAGCTTTTAAAAATATCAACTTAAAAAGAACTCATTAAATAAACAAATTAGAATGGAAAGTTAATTTTGATAATCAAACTATATTAATCTTAACCCAAATTAGTGTACTTAACTTATATTTAAAATTACGTTTAATAATATATTCACATTCACGTTTAAAGAATATAAATTTATGGTTATTTTATGTTATTCGAACTCAACACAGTACATGTGGTGGTTCTTTTATAAAACAAAGGTTGTGCCCGTAAAGAATCAAAGATAAATAATAAAGAAAAGGCATCTAAAGAGCGAAAATCTGAAACTTTTCATGTAAGTGAGTCAATAGTAAATTCCAGATGATGTTGCAATTTGCATGAGCAGTAAAAGCTTAATTAAAACTATTTATGTAATTAAATAAACTGATCCAAAGAGGCGTGCGATATCCTTTCACATAGTGCCCCTTATACTCGAACTAACATCGATCATCTATTGTCAATTAACATCGATCGTTAATTTTTCTTATTTTTTCATGGAAATAAATAAGGAGTAAAGTACATATATATAAGTATATGTCTTAGCTTTTTGTGATGAAGGGGATAAAGTCCACATTACACTTATTGGGAGTTACAACTCGACACAGAGATTGGAGGGAAAAATCTAGCAATAATAGGAATCCATTCATCGAATCATGCTCACGAGTATTTCTACATAATCAATAATGGAAGAAAACTATTACGGGATCTTAAAATTCTACAATTTTAATTAACGCATCATTATAAAAGATGACTAACTTGTATTCATTGCTTAAGAAAAAGAGTAATCCTTACGTTTTGAATTTTTGTTGTGAGAGTAGAAAAAATCAGTTTATATCTCCTTGGCTTACTCTTCTATTCTTTCTATATTATTGATGGTAAAAGAAAGAGAAAATACGTCACAGTCAGGAGAAAGACTTGTTTTACATCTTTTTAAATTGATAATGTTAATTCCATCGACAAGCATTTATTTAAAATTTGAAATTATTTCTCATTTATCCAATTACAATTTAGTTCTTAATAATTTAATCAATGATTTATTAGTCCTTAGATAATTCACATTCTTCTCACATGAGACATTTAAAACATTTCTTCCGATTAGCTCATGTGACATTATCCAATATCATGGTCTAATAAATAAAAGATTAAATCATCATAATGTGCATTATCATGACTAAATCATTTCATACATTGAGTACATCATAAATCATAATTAAGAATAAGAACTAATTTGAGCTATGACAGTCGTGTATCACTTAATCGACATAGTATTTTTCATGTACTACAAGATTAGTCTTCTCTTTAATATGACCAGTAAGTAAGAAGTAAATAATTAGTCAAACATAATGTCTTTATTCAAGATAGTACCTGTTTACATTATTCTAATACAATTATGCATGCATATCAGAAAACAGGTAATCAGAAATATATTCATAAATGAGCTCAGAGTATCAAGTGCATAATACAAAATGTAAACATTACATTTAACAATTTAACAATCATCGCAGACAATAATGCCCATATTTTCAACATGCTCAATATATGTCTTGGATAGTAATCCTTTTGTCAAAGGGTCAACTATCATAAGGTTAGTGCTAATATGTTCTATTAACAGTTTATGTTTTTGTACTTCATCTTTCACATAAAAGTACTTTAGCTCCATATGCTTAGCACCCTTAGAGAACTTGTCGTTCTTAGAGAAAAGCATTGCTATAGAATTATCACAATAAATTTTCAGCAGCCTGACAATACTGTTGACTATTTAATGCCTTGAAATAAAGTTTCACAGCTAATTAGTTTGAACTGTAGCCTCAAAACATGCTACAAACTCAACTTCCATGGTAGATGCAGCAACAACTGATTGTTTTGTACTTTTCCATGATACTGCTCCTCCAGGTAAAAGAAACACATAGCCAAGAGTAGACTTTCTTGTATCTACACATCCAGCAAAATTTGAATATGAAAATCCAATCATCTCAAGATGATCAAATCTTCTATATGTAAGCATGTGTTCTTTCGTTCCTTATAAGTATCTCAGAACCTTCTTCAGAGCTTTCCAATAATCTAATCCAGGATTACTCTAGTATCTATCCAACATCTCAGCTGCAAAGCTTATATCGGTCTGGTACAGGTCTGAGCATACATAATACTCGTAATAACAAATGCATACGGAATTACTTCCATTTGTTTTCGTTCCAAATCATTTTTAGGATACTGTGTGAGACTAAACTTGTCTCATTTCTGAATTGGAACGGGTGATGCTGAATACTTTTCTATTCTAAATCTCTCTAGTACTTTGTTGATATATGCTTTCTGAGATAAACCTAACAATCCTTGTAATCTGTTCCGAAATATTTCTATCTCTATCACATAGCTTGCCTTACCCATATCTTTCATTTCAAAGTTACTAGAAAGAAAATTCTTAGTCATATGCAACAGACCAAGATTGTTAGTTGCAAGTAAGATATTATCAACATACAGGACTAGAAATATAAACTTACTCCTACTGACCTTCAGATATATACACCGATCAACAGTATTTTCCTTAAATCCAAAGGATACAACAGTATCATTGAACTTTAGATACCATTGACGAGAAGCTTGTTTGAATTCATATATTGATTTCTTTAATTTACACACCATGTGTTCCTTTCCTTCAACTGAGAATCCCATTGGTTGATCCATATAAATATTTTATTCTAAATCTCCATTGAGAAAGACAGTTTTCACATCCATCTGATGTAACTCTAAGTCATAATGAGCTACCAGTGCCATGATAATCTTAAAGGAATCCTTTCGTGAGACAAGTGAAAATGTCTCTTTATAGTCAATGCCGTCATTTTGAGTAAAACCTTTAGCAACAAGTTTGACCTTGTGATGTTCAATATTGCTATGAAAGTTACGCTTGGTTTTAAAGACCTATTTACAACCAATTCTCTTACAACCTTCTGGCAATTCTACAAGGTCCCAAACTCCACTCTGTTCCATAGATTTTAACTCTTCTTTTATAGCATCTAATCACTTATCAGAATTATCACAACTTGCAGCTTGTGAAATTTATACATGAGATTTATACAACAAAGTTTGGCAACAATTTATACGTATAAAAAAAAGGGAAAAAAGAGAGATAAAAATAAATAATGTGATAAAAAGAAATAAAAAGTAAATATTTATAAAATTGTTGTGAAAATCTGTTAAAAAAAAAATCACGTATTGTATTTGATGTTGATCTAAAGCCATATATAATATTTTTATATTTGATATCAGTCAAATTTCAAAACCTAAGCATATTCAATTGAACATAAATTCATAATTGGAGTTTTAATTTTGAAATATTTTATAATTGTGGATAATTTTTTATTATCTAATTTCTCAATTTCTTTGAAATTAGAACAAATTGGAGACTGTAGTGAATTATGGTGTTGTATTTGGATACAAATCAATTCGAAGGTGTAATTTATTTGAGTATTTCTAACAATGCAATGAATGGGAGTGTACCATCAAGATTGGGGAATTGTAGTTTAATAGAATTTTATGTTGCAGTATATCATCGACCTTGGGCCTGTGAGCTTTCTGTTAAAGTAATTTTATAGGACTTGTTTTCCTCTTTTGGAAAACACCTCCATAGATTGGCATTTGCAAATCATTGGAAAGGTTAGATTAGAATTCCAATGAATTTGAGAAATTCCTAGTGAATTGGAAATTTTGAATAAATTACGTGATCCTAGATTGTATCAAAACCTTTTAACCGAGAAAATTCCACTTGGCAAATGGAAAATTTAAAGCCTCGAGCATATCCATGTCACCTTGCGTACCTCAAAGCTTAGGGTTAATAGTAATTTGGTGTAGTTGGACTTCATGTATGATGAGTTAACCGATGTCTTAGACGTAAATAAGCCTTTTAAAAATTGTTTTAACTCAATTCGTCATATGCTTACCAAACTCATTCTCATTTGTTTAAATAGATAAATAAGTTCAGACTTAAGTTTAAGTTTAATTATATAAATAATTCAAGTTTAACTCTAAGTTTTTTATATGCTTAATATAAGAATTAGAAGATCGTGTATGTATATATATAGTGATATAAATAATATTTTTATATAAGAAAAATTGACATTATATAACTTTTATGTTTTAGTGTTCTTTTATTTTCTTTCTCTTTTTATTGTTATCTCATTTTTTAACATAAAAATATAAATTAAATATTAGAAAGTTCTCCAAAAACGTGAGAAATGAACAATGATAAGAGAAGTGAATAGGCTAGAAATGAACAATCTATTTATTTTCTCTTTATTTCACCTCATATTGAAACAAAGCATAAGATGAGTTTACCATAAGTTCTTTCCATCTTTGCTCCCTTGCTATTTTAAAGGTACTATTCTGAAAGCATGAGAGATATTTTTTGTGACTTCACTTGTAGCTCTATTTAGTGGGACTTCATTTTAAGTTTAACATTTTCACTCTCAAACTATTAAAATACATATGAATTCAGTTGATTAAGCATGTAAGATTCTATTACATTTATGTTGTGATACTGATTTATTTAATAAGATATCTTATATTCAAACTTCATCATATACAGATTTTTATCACTTAAGATATCTTATATTCAACAAAGATTAAATAACATTTTACTCTAACACTTAGAAGAAATTAATTATTGTAAGCGAACTAAAACAACATAAGTTACATTTTAAAACTGTTGAATTAAAATCAAGGCTTGGAATTATAATTTGGATCTCGGGGCATCCCTTTGGGCCTTGCCGGATAAGTTATTACAGCAAAATGTTTATCTCAATTCAGAAATATACGAATAGAAAAATAATTATAATTAGAAAATGTGTAAAAAAAAAGTGGTGTTTAAGACAGAGTACGAGTAGGAATTATCTTATTTAAATTATTCCGGACAGAGTGAGAGTCAGATTCGGAATTCGGAAATTTGAAACGGGATCGACGCCCATTCAATTGTGGACTCCACTCTTCTTCTTATTCATCTCTTCACTGTCACTCACACAGTACTCAACCACTTCTACTTCCCACTGTCACTGATTCATAAAACCCTATTTTCTTTGGAGCAAAGATTTTAGGGTTGGCTCTGATGGATTGAGCTGAGGGAGCTCGTAGTTTGAAGAAATGGAAGGGGGGAGAAGAATTACGGTGAGCCCTCGACCTTGCTGCGGCCGCAGGGTCGTTGCTAAGAAGAGACCGCGCGCAGTGGATGGCTTCGTCAACAGCGTGAAGAAACTTCAAAGGCGTGAAATCAGCTCCAAGCGTGATCGCGCTTTCACCATGAGCGATGCTCAAGAGAGATTCCGGAATATTCGTTTGCAGGTTCTATTTCCCTAACTTTTTCAAAAGCTCGTTTGCGAATCCTCTATCCGTGAATTAGAATATTTTGTTAGGGCTGGTGAGTCGTAAGTTTTCAAAATTTCTGGTTGGATCGAACTGGAAATATGTGTGTTAGTTTTGTATGGTGCCGTGATCATAACTTTGAAGTTATGATGCTTAAACGAATTAATAGAATCTAGTTTTGTTTGTTATTATCTTAGCATAGAGCTTAGGGCCTGCAAATTTTGGATGGAACGAAGCATTCTGTTTTGCTTTGTGATTCTTGGATACAGAATGACCCTATAGCCTGTGCTTATCATAAAGGTTGTGTTAGTTTCTGGAACTCTGAGTGTATTCTATATGTATGTTTCTATTTTCGATACTAGACAACTATTCTAAGCTTTCTGCATGCTTGTATTTTCATACTTCAGCATGAAACGACATGGGACAATAGGAACAGAAAAGTGGTGCGGTATTTTTGTCTGAATCAATCCCCATACTTGTGTGTAATGCAAGATTTTAAGCCACTGTTTCTTTTGTTGAATATAATACCTGTTCTATTTTAAAATCATTGATGTTTAAGAGTCTACTGTTGCTCCTGTTTTGATAGTGAGGTGTGTGCTTTGCTATATGTATGCCCATTTCTCTGAACTTGTTGTGATTGCTTGATGGATTTATTTGTAGGAAGAATATGATACACATGATCCAAAAGGTCCTTCATCTGTAGTATTGCCGTTTCTGAGAAAAAGATCAAAGATTATTGAGATTGTAGCAGCACGAGATATTGTTTTTGCCCTTGCACAATCTGGTGTTTGTGCAGCATTTAGCCGAGGTGGTATTAGTTCCTGGTATTTGTATGTTGTTTAATTTTATTTGATACATAAAATGGATATATTGTATATTGACATGTTTCAACTTTGATGCAGAGACCAATCAAAGGATATGTTTTTTGAATGTCAGTCCGGATGAAGTTATAAGAAGTCTGTTTTATAACAAAAATAATGACTCCCTTATCACAGTTTCTGTATATGCTTCAGACAGTTACAGTTCTTTGAAATGCAGAAGCACAAGGATTGAGTATGTATAACTCTTTGTTGTGTTATAGCTCCTACCCATTCATCCCATGCTCAGAAAAGAAAGATAGCGAAAACAGAAATTGCGCAAGACAAAGCACAATAACTAAAAGAAAAGAAGTAAATAGCAGTAGTTGCATGTCCATGTTTGAGGAGTTGTGTTCTATGCTAAGATTTTGTGTTGTTCTCAGATACATAAGGAGGGCTAAACCAGATGCTGGCTTTGCTCTTTTTGAATCCGAATCTCTGAAGTGGCCAGGTTTTGTAGAGTTTGATGATGTAAATGGGAAGGTACTAACGTACTCTGCCCAAGATAGGTAAATATATTACTGTTCTGATACTTTTGCATGAGGATATATGTAATATATCAAGGCTTCTTGATAGTGATAGAGTCTTTCTCTTTAATCCTGTAGCATATACAAGGTATTTGACCTGAAGAACTACACGATGCTGTACTCCATTTCTGATAAGAATGTCCAAGAGATTAAGATCAGGTTATTTTTCTTGGTGTGCTTGTATTTACTTTCACTTTTATAAAACACTACCATAGATGTGATGGTCTCTGGTCATGCCACAAGTTTCTGAAATTATATCCCTTTAGATCTTAAATTCTTATGAATATATCAGTTTCTATACATTTTGTAGTTTCTTTGGTGTCCTACTTTATTCACACTACTTTTCTCTTGCTTGATTTCTTTTGATTAGTCCGGGAATCATGCTGTTGATTTATGCCAAAGCAAGTAGCTACGTGTCACTTAAAATCCTTTCAATAGAAGATGGTACTGTTTTGAAGTCATTCAACCATCTTCTTTATCGGAATAAGAAGGTGGATTTTATTGAACAGTTTAATGAAAAGCTACTTGTCAAGCAAGAGAATGAGAACCTCCAAATTCTTGATGTAAGTAATTTCTCATTTGCATGCTTTGTTTACATGGTTCTACATGCATTTATATGACTTTTAATTAATTTTAGGTGCGGACTTTTGAGCTAACAGAAGTTAGCAGAAGTGAATTTATGACACCATCTGCATTTATCTTTCTGTATGAGAACCAATTATTCCTAACATTTCGAAATCGGACTGTGGCTGTGTGGAACTTCCGTGGAGAGCTTGTAACTTCTTTTGAGGATCACCTCTTGTGGCATCCTGACTGCAATACAAACAATATATATATAACCAGTGACCAGGATCTTATCATATCCTACTGTAAAGCTGATTCTGATGATTCATTGTCTGAAGGAAATGGTACTTTTTGTATTCTTTTTCCCTGTTTCTCCACTTTTGTATTCTTTTTCCCTGTTTCTCCACTTGGTAATTTTCCCTTGGTAATGCACCTTGTGATGGAAGGTACAAAGGGAGAGATGTTTTTTGATACTTGTAGGATGATCATCAGACCTGAGTTGATTTAGCTAATTGTATTACATGTTACTTTTATATGTTAAAACATAAGGTATGATGGCAAATCATAGCAAATAAATAGTTTGGAATGTGTCTTTGTTCAATCTATATATTTTTCCATGGAGCATATATCTTCAAAGGTGCATTACTGATGGTTTTTGTTTCTTTTATGCAGCTGGTTCCATCAATGTCAGCAACATTTTAACTGGCAAGTGTCTTGCCAAAATAAGAGCAAGCAACAGCTTTCCAACGGAGAATAATTGCAGTTGCAGTGACAATTCTTCTGGTAGCAGTTGTTGTAATTCAAGGAAGCGAAAGCATGCCTCCAAAATGAGAAGCACAGTTGCAGAAGCCTTGGAAGATATTACTGCTCTCTTCTATGACGAAGAGCGCAATGAGATCTATACAGGCAATAGGCATGGTCTAGTTCATGTCTGGTCTAACTGATATATTGTCCGACTTTACTGTTGCCCTGTGTTTATTATTGGCTTTTCTTAATGGGTACGATGATTGTCCTGGTATGCAATGAAAACTTTCGAGGGCTGTAACCATAAGTGGTCTTGTATCATTCATTTTTTTTTCTTGTCATCTACGCCTTAGGCGAGTGTGTTCTGTAGTTGTAACAGATTTGTATGAAGTCATATTCTATGCTGGTCACTCGCCAGGTGTAGCTTCTGCTGTAATCTATATTTTACATTAATGGAGCGGCTTCGATGGAGTGAAATATGTGCATAGTGCCAACTCTCTTCCCTGCCCATCTCTTACTTTTTCTCCTTTTGCCCCTTGTGGCATATTGTGGATAATTCGTTTGCACATCACATGGATTGTGAGGGCCGGGATGCCAAATAAGTGGTGAAGGTACAAAAGTAATCAATTATCAGTAGAGTGTTAGCTTTACGATTTGCCAACCTTTCCTTCCCAAGTTTCTGCCACTCCAATCAATTCACTTTTTTGTTCTATTCTATCCCACTTTACCTATGGCTTCTTTTCTGCCAGCTACCATCTAGTCTCGGCAAAAGCTGACACACAAACTTTGCCTTCCACTTTCACTAAGCGGTTGGTTTGGGATGAAATGGAATCAACCTTGTTATGGCCCCGTTTCGTGCGAAGGAGCTACATTTGATAGGAAGTGACATACCAAAGTGTAGCTTGTACATTAATTTTACTAATGTTATTGTACAAATGTTACGAGGATTCAAGTCTTACATCAGCAAATAGAAGTTTGAGCCACGCTGTTTTGTGGGAAAAAAAATTAGTACAAATTTTGGAGGAACAAACGAGCTTGTACTGGTGAAATAAATAATTAACATAAGGGAGAAAATGAGGTTAACTTGAAAGAAATTATGGTAGACCTTGTGCAGCACAAATTTGGATCATTTAGCATTTTTGTTGAGGATTATCTAAATTTTGATCAAGTTATTTATGAAGTACAAAAAATTACGGTTAGATCCATTGAATTTATACTTGCCAAAGTTATGTTTTGTTTGGCTGATAGGAAACTAAATAAAAAAAGTACAAATAATAATATTTTTTTTGTTGGATTGAAGAAAAAATGATGAGAAAGAAGAGGTGAAAGTCAAATTTTAAAATAAAAAATTGATTTTTCCCCATTTTCCTTTAATTCAAAATTTAAATTTCTTTATTCACATTTTCTTTCTACAAAACCAAACAGGGGGTAAATCTAACTCTTAACTTCTTTTCTTTTGCTAAATTAATCAGTATACTCGTTTTATATATATATATATATATATATATATATTTATTAGAATCGGTACACTTTTCTCTCTCTTGGTGAAGAAAACTTGATATGATTTAGATCTTGGGTGTGGTCCCTGCGCTTTATGCAGTGGTTTGTCATCTAAGCCGATCCTAAATTCCTAATCGAGGTTTATATTACATGTACGAAAATTAGGACATGATTTCTTAATTCAATTATTGCCTTGCTTTGTTCTTATCTCGTTCAATCAAAGTTGCGAGTGTATTTAATAGAGAAAATTATTTCAGTGAATCTATTTAAAATTACATATAAATTTTAAATAACTTAATAATAGTTTAAAGTCTTAATAATTATCCACCGTACAATAAAGTAACCAATTCCAGTGTAAATAAATAAATAGGGGAAAACATTTTTGCTATTTGTCCATTTCTTAAAGAAGGTACCCTTTTTTTAAATAACGAGGAGACGAGGAGACAAACAAAATATGTAGAGGGATTTGTACCAAAATATATAGAAGCATTTATTTTGTTGAAGTTGAGGGTCATGCACGATGCACTCACGTAAATTACCGACAATAGACAAGTTATCTTATGAGAGTAGATACAAATTTCAAATTTGACGAGGAACGTGCATATGTGTGGATGTGGAAACCCCAAATGCACGCGTGTTATGCATTTGGTTACGGTGAGAGTCGTCGTTTATTCTCATTTCTCAACCCAATCTTTGTCACACTTGATTTGCCTACCTACCTGTTCAAATTTAACGCACAAATACTTAAATTACTCCACAACCAAATCCATTCCTTCTCATTCTCATCAATCAATGCAAGATAACACACCCAAGTAGTAGCACCCAACCCAGACCAACGCTCTCAATATTATAATAATAATAATAAATAAAGCAAAGTTGTTTTATTTTATTTTTTACTTCGAGAGAAGGAAAAGAAATAAGAGGTAGAGAGCGTGAGAAGCACGCGTGGATGAAGAAAGCATATTTTGGTGGAGTAATGGAGTAACGTGTTGAGCATTAGTTTAGTTACCTTCGCGGACCACAACACACCTCACTTTGTCTTTCTTCTTACATTCCTCCCTCATCACTCATTGCTCATCTCACAGATTCAAATTGGATGCAACTTCGCCTTACTCTCACTCTCTTACTCTCAGTTTCACTACACTGTTTCGAAGATTTCTTTCTCTTTCTGTCTGACATAAACAGCGAAACTCATTTTCAGATCTCAAATAGTTAGACGAGGCGAGAGGTAAGAGTTTTTAACGCATTTCGCTTATTCTCTCTTTTTGCCACTGGTTTTCTTTGCTTCTTCGCTTTCGCCATTTTTGAAGAATCCAAGATTTGCTCCTTTGTCTGCTCCATTACTATTTACTTTTTCTGAGATTTACTATCTTTGGTTTTTGTTTTTGATAGAGATTGTAGGTGGCGTGCTAGATCTGACTTCAATGCACGCATATCTAGCTATTCCTTTTTCTCCGGTGATCTGGATATTAATTTTTGTTGTAATTTCTCGTCGTTTTATCTTTCAGAACTTTCCTCTATTTTTTTTCCTTTGTTTGTTTCTTTTTGCCGTTTATTGTTCCTTTTTTCGTTTTCCAGAAACGAGCATTTCTGTGGTTTTCCTAGTTTTTGTTTTTATTTTTTGCTAATAGTAATTATGTAACCTAGAAGAGAGCTTGCTGATAATCTGAAATTCATATATGAAAAAACATTTTGTATGATTATTTTAGAAAATTTTCTGTCTACATTATGAAATGCATTCTATGTCTTCGTCGACCTTTGTTCTACATTTAGCCTGTTGCGTAACTTCCCTGCATTCATTGTGTATGATTTTGTATTCGATAATGAAACATGTTATAGTTGCACGGATATGATGGTTGTTGATTGGTTCTTTCGGTTCCATTTGTTTAATGAGAAGAGTATTGGATAAATTCAGAATGGCATTGAGCATGTATTTTGCCTATGTACTATTTTCGTTTCAGGTTCAAGGTCCTTTGTTTTTCATTTAACATATTAGGAATGGAGGATGCTATAGATACTGCTGCTTCTTTGGATTGTGCTTCAATTCGGATATTTCCTAACCATAACAGGTTAGCACTGATGCTATGTTAAGTTATACTTGCGCCTCACATGGTGTTCCCATTTTGTAACAATTTATCACACGAACTTATTTTAGCATTATTTTATAAACTTGTTTGAAAGAATTTATTGGCCCCCTTTTAATTCTTCTTTTTCTCCTCTCTTTGTAATAGTTTTTCTTTTATCTCCAGCGAAAAAAATTAAATTAATAATTTAAAGCACGTGCTTTAATTGCTGACTGTGACCACTGAATTAAAACTTGGAAAAAATTAAGAAATTTGAGGAAATATTATTAGTCTATTTTGTGTATTTCCGTTGTTGACTATATACAAAGATTTGAAGAAAAAAGAAAGAATTCTGATGTCCTTTAAAAAGTTTCTCAGTCTGAATCTATTGCGTGCAGATTCCAATTCGAATCCTTACAAACGAAATATCCCAGCAAAACTCCTCATTTTAGTTTGACCTCTAGCACCAACCCCGTCATTCGGAAGTGTTTTTCTCCCTCCAATTTTATTTATAAGACACCTTCATCTAAATCATATAGATTAAGAGAAGTTGTTGGAATTAGTTAATGCATTGGCTTTTGAAAAATTACAGCATTTCAAGTTTGCCTTTATTATTTAAAGTCAAGTTCTATTATCAGATTAATTATTTAGAAGTTAGAAAGGTTCAATATTTATGAAGTACACATATGTAAAAAATGATAAATACTTCTAAAACTTTGTAAAAGGTTCTATATTAAGGACTAAATCTTTAAAGAAGTCCAATAAAAAGAGCTGAAGGGTGTATTGTTTTTACTGAGGTTAAAAGAAACCTATAAAATAAAATGAGGATAATTTTCCCTTTTAAATCTTAATAATAGATTATATCATCATTTTGTACTTTTTTAAAAATTTATAATGCATTTTTTTTTCTAAAGAAAAGGTTATGAAATCTGATCAATGAATGTAATGAATTTAAAGTTGTCTTAATACTAGTGTGGTTGCTGTTTGACATGACATGTGCTGACAACTTTGAAGGAGGATTGTTCTACTTATATATCATATTGCTGTTATGTTTATGTACTCTATTAGTGTTATTATGGTTTTATTTGCTAGGTATTTCTTCCTTCAGGAGATTCATTTGTGCAATGAGTAGTTTATGTTGAACTGTGCTCCATATGAATGTTATACATTTTGTTTTTTCTGGATACTTACACATTCCTCTGCATGGTGGTGGAATAGGTATGAGGCATTTGTCTGTAAGGGGAAACAATCTGAGAAAGTGGCAGCTGGAGATTTGGAACATTTGTTGCCTCATTTACCTGCGATAAATGATTTGTATGCTAGAGGATTTGATGCAAACTTTGATCTTAAATTGCCTGAAAATCTACATGGTGCTGAATGGTTTTCAAAACCAACTTTTAAAAGGTTTTTATCAACAAGTGGAACTCTATTCTTCCTTGGCATTTACTCATAGGACCTTCGTACCAACTCTAATATCATTTTACCTCTTAGGTTCCTGCATATTGTTTCTTCACCAGATTCCATAAATTTCATCAATACTATCCTGGATGAGATGTCTCAGTTGGAGGATTCAAAGAAATTTCATATTTCTTTATATGGGAAGGTGATATTCTGTCTTTCAATAAATCAATACTAAATGTATATAGTTTCTGATTGATATTTTTTCTGAAATCAGGATCATCAAGATCATCTTGAAAGTGTGGAAAGCGGTAATCTTCACTAAATTCTATATGATTTGGTTCTTGATTCTTGTCTGCTACCACCAACTGATGGGATCTTTTTGTTTTCTCTATATTCTGATAAAAGAGGCCTTACAGGGATTGGCTGAAAACAAGGAAGTAATGAGACAGCCTTGGTTTAAAATGTCTTATAATTGAATTTGTCAACCATCATGGGAGCTTGAATAATCTTTTGTCTTGATCTTTCTACTCAAGATCTAGTAGCTGCTTTTCCTTTAATGCCAAGCAAATTCTAGTTGTATGTAGTGGTGCTGGTGCTATGAGGAATTCTTAAAAGTATAAACATTTGCTCAAGCAAAATAAGAACTGCATAGATAGCTAATTATGATATAATTTTTCCTCCTCAGTCCTACTAAAATGCCTGAAGTTGGTAAAATATTTTATCCAAATTAAATGGTCATACTTAACATTCTCTAAATACATCAAACAGCCTACTCCATATTATCCTATCAATTGTATGGAAGAGTTGATGGCTAGGTGTCTGTTAGGTTTCTGATATCTTTTATACGATAATGTATTTTTTGCCCATTAATAACTTTCTTGACTCTTACACAAGATACTATTGTTCTCCATAATTTCTATTGGTTTTCATTGTATTTCCTACTTTTGACAGATGGAAACTGTAGCTCATATGGTGAAGCAGCAACCTCCAAAGTAATTTCTTTTCTCCAATGCTTTAGAGTGGGTTCATTTTACAAATTCATTGACACTATCACCAATAAATAAACCCAGTCAATTATCTGGTTTTTTCTTGATTACATTACATTATATTTCTACTAACTATTGATTGCAAATGAACAGCCTGAAGTTAACAATGTATCATCTGATGCTTCAAAGTATGTTCTTGTGACCATTACATTACATTAAGACAATATAGATTGGCTTGATCCACTATTAAGCTTTCTTAAAATTTGCTCCCAGGAATGAATTGTTACGAGCAATGGATCTAAGACTCACAGCTTTGAGCGACAAGTTAGCTGAAACTCTTAACAATGTCACCGGTGCTACATGCTCCCCTGAAGATCTGACCTATTTAGCAAAATTTTCTCAACAATTTGGTGCTACTGATATAGAGTATGTTTCAGACAGATTTATATAGTTATATGTTCATTGTCCCTCTGAATGCATACTTGCAAATACTAGATTGCACTTGTATTTTTTGTCTTTTCTCTCATTCCAAAAGCATTGCTAAGCTGCTAACCCAGTTCTATGCATTGTGTTAATGTTCTGTCAGGCATTCTTTGTGCAAGTTTATAGAACTAAACCGGAAGAGCCAGGATGTTATTTCCCTGAGCAGTGAAACAACCTCACACACTTGTGATGTGACAAAAGATGAAGCAAACAAGGATGTTAAAAACCTGCGAATTTCAAAGGCATTACATACAGATGCCCCAGTTAAGTATGGTGTTTCACCAGCTAGAGTTGCTCAAATTGAGAGGCACAGTTCAACAGAAAGTGGGGAATCTTCTAACTCAAGCGATGAAGATCAAACATCTGCTGAGAGAAGCCGTTCTCTGGTAAGATCGGCAACACCTAGAAGATCAGCATCCCCAATGCGAAGGATCCAAATAGGAAGAACTGGGCCCCGCAGAGCTGCTGCAATAACTATCAAGAGTCTCAATCTCAATTATTTTCCTGCCAGAGAGAGGCCAATGTCATATAGGGATGCTGCTGAACATGATTGTGAAGGGGAAGTATCTGATCAACCCTATAAGAAGCCAGAAATTGATGTAAGGAGGATAACTGTACAAGATGCAATAAGTCTTTTTGAAAGCAAACAGTGGGATCAAACTGCAGATATTCAAAAGAGGAAGTCATTAACAGATGTTTCTGTCGGTACAAATAAATCTGTTTTGAGAAGATGGAGTGCAGGTATGGGGGAAACCTCTGTTCAAGACCAGCCAGAACATGTTACCGAAGATCCTGTTCCAGTGATTTCTAATGATGTGGTACATAATGAGGTTCCTAAAAATTCAGAAGTAGGAGTGGTGTCTGATTTTATTTCTGATAGTTATGATAATAATGAGACCATTGATCATGATGCAAAACCAGAAAGACCAGAAAACATAAGTTCTTATTCTGTAGATAATTCAGATGAAACTGATCCAAAAGTAAAGGATGAAGTTATCAAAAAATTAGCAGCATCAGCAGAGTGGAATCAACGAAAGCAAGAAGAGTTCAACCAAATTCTTAAAAAAATGGTTGAAAGCAAGCCTGTTATATTTGGGAAATCCCAGCCCAGCAGAAACCAGAATATTTCATTTGAGCAGAGAGGAGGGTCTTATGATCATTATAAGGAGAAAAGGGATGCAAAACTTCAAGGGGTGAAGACTGGAAAACAAGTAGAAAAGGAAGCACAATTTCGGGAAATGCAGCAGCTACTTGATAAGAAGAAGACTGAAATGTCCAAAAATGTGAGTGCAAGTAAAAAAAGTTCTACAAGGTTGCCCCAGAAATCTCTTAGAAATTCAATTCAACCTGCAAGTTCCCCAAAGGAAACCTCTAAACCCTTTGTTACCAAAAAGACAACATCTAGAACATCACCAATGCCTGCTACACGTAAGTCTTGGTCAGCAACACCTTCGCCAAGGGCTGCTGGGACATCCCCTGCTCAAGCTCGTGGTGGAATTTCATCTGCTAACAGCACCCCAACACGGAGGAAGCCAGTATCAACAACATCTGTTCCCCAACAGAGCACCCAAAGGGAAAAATCTCAGCCACGAATCAGAAATGAGAAAGAAACTCAGACCAGTAGTGCCAGGAGCCTCAAAAGCACGAATGAGAAGCAGCAGTCAGCTGTCCCAAACAAGAGCAAGGCAGTCAAAGCCAAAGTGATGACAGCTTCTGAAGAAGCCTCTGTCCCTTCTAAGACTAGTTTGGGTAACAGGGGAACCAAGAAAAGCAGTGTAGTGCCACTGGAATCAAAACCTTTTCTACGTAAAGGTTCTCGGATGGCACATGGAACTACTAATCTTAACAAGAAAAAGAGTCCTCCTAAGATGGATAAATCTCATGGAGACAGTGAAGATCTTATTGAAGATCAAGAAAGTGAGTTGGTTGTCAATGCTTCTGACGTGGTCAGTCAGCATTCAGATGGGGATAGAATGACACCTAGTAATCAGAATGCTGCCACAGAACCAGACCCTCAGATAAATAAGCACTTGCAATGTGATGAGACAGAAACCGTAGACCAAAATCCCACTGATGGTAATGTCTTAGCATACATAGAAGAGTCTTCCTTAAATATAAGGAATGAAGAAGAATCAACCATATCACCTTCTGCCTGGGTGGAAACAGAAGAGGATCTGGAAGTGCCCAAGCCACCGGAGGATAGCACATTTCAATCTGTATCTTTAGCCAATGCTGCTCCAGCAGGATCAGCTAGTCCTCGGGTTCGCCATTCTCTGTCTCAGATGCTTCAAGAAGAAAGTAGTGAACCTGACACTGGTGAGTGGGGAAATGCTGAGAATCCTCCTGCCATGATATACCAAAAAGATGCACCCAAAGGTTTTAAAAGACTCTTGAAATTTGCTCGGAAGAGCAAAGGTGATACAGGTTCCACTGGTTGGTCTAGCCCATCCGTTTTTTCTGAAGGAGAGGATGATGCTGAGGAATTTAAAAATTCTAATAAAAGGAATGCGGACAATCTACTGAAAAAGGCTGCACTCAATGTGAAAAGTTATGGACAACCGAAAAGTTCAGTACATGAAGGATATGAAAGAAATTTAGGTACTAGTGAACTTAGTTCATTTCCCTCTGCTTTGCTCTTCTCTCATTGTTGCCTTTCTGTTTTAATTTCATTTCTCGATCTCTCATTCAAACCTGATTGCATTGCCATAAATTTTGGAATCTGTGAATGTTATTATCACCTTTCTCTTAATATTATTTCTTCTCCTAACATATTGAAATTCCAAACATTAGATGCTTTCCTCATCTTTATCTATCTTGGGTGAAACTCTTGCCAGCATAGCCTCAATAGTTGTATCGTAGTTAACCAGCTATGCTTTATTATTTGGTGCTTAATATTAGCTGGAAGTTTCTGTGATTCAGTTATTTGGGGCACATCTTTGTTAAGCAAAAATTCCTTACTATAGCACTCTTGGGTACTGGGAACTTAATAGGAACTGAAAGTAAAAAAGATTATGCAATGTTATCGTTTATGTTTCTTCACTGATTGGAAATTAGTAAGCTGTTCTTTTTTGTTTCCATGTCGATATTCTTATCATTTATAGATTTTTGCCACGCAGCAAGCAGAGATGATGACAAGGGTTCTCGCAAGATGCAAGGTGGACGTGATTCAGGTGCTGGTTCAACCGCAAGAGGTCAGTCTAAGACTTGTTCATATTTGAGTGCTCCTTTATGCCATGGAATTGTACATTTTCGTTTCTCACAAGTAGGTGATGCTTATTAATTCCTTGTTTTCTTGTGCATGTTTATGTTCCAGCGTCAAGGTCATTCTTTTCTCTTTCAGCTTTTAGGGGAAGTAAGCCCTCTGAGTCAAAGTTTCATTGATGCTATGGGAAACTGCCATAACTTAGCCATCACCTCCGGACCTGTTCATGTTCATGTCAGGTTTAGCATGGAGTTCTCCCTTTTTTCTCCTGCTAATTGCATTTCAGTGCATTGGTGTTGTAAGTTATCAAGGGGGAGTAGGTGGAACGCTGTAAATTCATTAAATTGGGTCACGCTACTTCTACACATTACCCAAAAGGTATAATTCATATCTGGCGTTCCCTGGGAAATTTTCCTATAGCTGGATTCCTTCTTGTAATGTTTTCCCAATCGTTCATTTCATCGTATGGTGCTACAGTGCAACGAAATATTTATTACTGTAGATAGCTGAATTGTAGATCTTTTGCTTTTTCTATTTTAATGTTCATAGCTTATATCCGTGACCCTTATAGGGAAGTCCCGAAGAGACTTGACATCTTTACGTGGATAAAAAATAGACAAATGATTCAATCTATTAAAACAGTACATATATTTTATAAACCAGCATGCAACATCCAAGCGACTGTAAAGCAGTTACGCAAGCAAATCGTTGAATTGTCTGGATGGTTTCATAATACAGGAACTGTAAAACGGTCAACATCGGGTTGAACTATTCTTGACATGTATAAAAGCAAATAACTCAACAAAACAATAGAGAAACATCTTGTAAGAATTTAAATTAATGCCACCCAGGTTAATTATTTTTAAAAAAAATTTAACTGAACAGTTTTTTGCAGGTGATTATTATATTAAATTATTATAAAACTATATTTATGGTGATAACATTGAATAAAATTTGAAAAATAAAGCCCTAACCAAACTAGTTGATAAATTAGTTCGGATTAAATAAAATTATTCCAACTACCCAATTCAACTTGTATTTTTCCGCTTGGCCTACCAATGAAAAAAGATTTCGGAGCTACGGCTTCCTGTTCAAGATTCCAAGGCTTCGGGATCTGTCAGATGCCAACGCAGGTTTGCTCAAAGCGAAACTTTGGTCATGGAAGTGGCGCAATAATATGTATGATCTTCAGTGAACAAGACTAGACTTTTACATATATCCCAAGCCAAATTTAATGCAGTTGAGAAAGGCTTGCCTCATACTTGATGCTGTGGTTATCATAATGAGATCTGTGAAAGTGACTGTCTTGAGGAGGTTAATTTCTAGCATCCTGTCTTCAATGAATAGCGATTGGATAGTTTCCATAGTCCACATTACTAGACATACGAATGGAGTTTGTGATGGTTGGGTAAAGCTTGGGGCTCAGGATAATGCCTCTGAGAGCTTGGTCGTCTTCTCTAGGACTATAGAGTGCAGATTACGATCTCCAGGATTTAATTCCTCTGTAGTTTACTGGTCTTGTCTTTCTTGTTTTTTTCTTTTCCCACTGTACCAAAAAAGAGTTATGATCACCATACTAATTACACAGATTTTCATCAAATATTAATGATTGAAAGTTGAAACCCATAGGAAATGGTTAATGTTAAAACACAAATTATGTAAAATACCAGGTATGACCAAAATTTGTTCATTCATAAAATAAATCCTCTCACTAAATAGCACTTCAATATTTTTGTATGATATATAAAAGTTTAAGGGGTCCTTAAACTTCTATTTATCATCCAAAAATATAAAATAATGCAAAAATAGTTTACTTAATTATGTTTTTCCTTATAAAAGTAGTACTCTTTGAGATAATAATTAAAATATTAAGATTTAGTTCTTTACATTTTCAAAATATAAATATTTAATCCCTACCCTCAACAGTACTATATTAAGTGATGAGCTAAATAATAAAAATTCAACTCATTATGTAAAGTTTATATTTACAAAAATATCCTTTCTCCTCTTATTCTCCGTCAATGTCACCAGCCAAGCAAAAATCCACCCCAAATAAAAAATCCACTTGGAAAGAGCACAACGATTAACCACAATTCTCCATCATGGTTGATAACTGTTCAACCACAGCAAGGTTGGGTTCAAGGAAATGGGCTCCCAGATTTGATTACATCCTAACCCAACAGGCCTTGGTGGCAGTGGACAATGGGGCACCTATCAACCAGGACTTGATTAGCGACTTGCTGTCAGACCCAGTGCATGGAGCTATTGAAGTTTGTACTGAACTGAGACCTACAGTAGATATTTCAGTGCCACCAGATGCAACCTTGTCCGTCCTGAGTTGCTTTAGTCTAGCAATTAGAACTTGAACCAATCACTGCCACCAATGCCTTCCTCTTCCGATTTCAAAATGCACTTTAGATTAGAGTTGCTAATAGCTATAAGAGCACAATGATACATGACGAGTATAACACAGATCGAGAGTTATGATTAACCATAAAATTCTTCATTGATCACTAAAATTCGATCATGGCGATGAACAGAAAAAATAAATAAATTGGGCATCCATTATAATAAATAGTAAAAGACAACCCAATCTAGAAAAGAAAGTTTAAAGGAGGACAATTTAAAAAACATCTCACTGAAACCCCACCCAGTGAAAATTAAAGGCAGCGGCCGTGGGATTTCGAGGCCCCAAGGCCAAAACTAACTTCCCCTCCCTTCAGACAATGTCAAAAACTAGAGCCCTAGCCAGAGCAGCATTGTCAAGTCCTCCAACCATTACCGAGACCTCGTCGCCAATTCGTTGCCACTTGACCTCAACCTTACCCCCACTCAATTCCCCTTCCAGCACTAGTTCACACTCGAAATTGTCGCCAAAAACCTTCTTAAACAATCCTCTTCTGCCACCGTCCCTCGATCTCCTTTGCTTCCACTTGCCGTCACTTTCTCTGCCGCCGGCAAGTCTGGCTACTCCCCACCGGCGCCAGGATCTTGACGATGCTCCCTGGGCAGTCTGTAACTGTCATCACTGAATCCCCCTCCCAATCCTATTCCTGACCCTATCCAACATGCTAGTAAGAACTGCATCAAGGATTACCCCGAAAAGGTGTGGAAGAAGAGCATGCATAGGGTTAGGGTTAGGGTTCCTGTGTCGATGGCACAGGTTTTGAAGCATGACTCATGCTTTATTTCGTTGGCAATGGAGGGGTCCACAACAGGGACATGGACACAGCAGTGGAGGGGTTCCTAGATGGGTGAATGTGATTTGCAAGGAAAGGTGTGGGAAGCTTATAGGAGATTGTGTGCAGGTTTTTGTGGGATTCCAATTGCTGTTTCTCTTGATAAAACTATGAATGTCAACATTTGATGAAATGTTTGCTGGATTGTCAAATCGGAAGCACCAGGAGAAGGCGAAGGGCATTTTGTTTGTGTAATGCAGTGTCAAAAAAGAAGAGGAAGGAGTTGAAAAAAGACTATTTTGCAAAAATTAATTTTTACATAATAAAATATTAAAAATACAGATGTAGCAGTGATGAGCGGACTTCCATTGTCCAGCTCCTCACTTAATAAAGAATAGTTGATAGTAGGAATTAATTCTAAATATTTTTTTCAGAGACTAAATTCTAATAATTTTTTTTAAGAACTAAATTCAAAAAGTAACTTTTATAGAGACTAAAAATATAATTAAGCCAAAATAATTTTATATGCATTTGTCAAATTTCTATACAAACAACCACACAATCCCCTTCCTACCCCTCTCTCGGTTCCCCCCAAATTATATCTTAATCCCCAAATTATAGAGTAGAAGAGTACAATCCTAAGTCATCAATTCATGTTCTAGATTGTGACTCACTAATCTGCTTTGCTGAAACCTTTTAAACCTGCCTGACATCCTGGCAGTATCCCAAGTGTCTAGAGCATACTCGAAAGCCAGCAACAATGTGAAAAACTATGCATTGTTCTCACCTGAGACAAGCACAATCAACAATGATCCACTTCAGGGCAAGTTTCAGTTCCGAGAATATATCATGAAGAGTGGCTTTTGTCATTTTTTGTGGGCATGGGCAAACCCACTCCTTGTTTTCAATGTGACTCCTTCCAAAGGAGCCATATTCCATGTTTGAAGGGCAAAGAAAAAGAATACAAAATGGAATGTATACAGATAAATATGCTGGATCAATATATTCAAATGGACTCGGTACAAAAGAAAAATGCACCTGGGTCAATATATTCAAAGCATCATTCTTATCTACGCGCAAGAAGTCTTGACTACCAACCAGTTTGGATGAGCTTTGAGTAATCTTTCTTGATGTTGTTGACCATTGTAGATCTTTCATATCAAATGACCTGTCATTAAACCATTGATGGACAATTACAGCTCACCTTGTGGGAAAAGCATTTGATTGGAGAGCCTTCACTGAAACCTTCTCAATTTCTCTCCTAAGGTATTTAAGATAGGGGAAGACTAGGTCTGCATGAAGTCCATAATAACATGAGAAGATGTCACATATTCGATTTATGCTGTCCACGGCAGTACCATCATCCAAGGAAAGTTGGATGGAAGAAAGTTTCAGAAGTTCATAAGCAATAACAATATCATCAGGATCATACAGCTTTTCCAGAATCTGCACACATAAAAGAAGAAATACTTTAGACCCTTGGAAAAGACTTGTTAATTTGATAACAAGACCATGTAGAATACATCAACTGTTGGGAATAACAATTTAAAATTTCCAAAACCTCAATTAGTGATTCCCAATGTTATAGTAAATTGCTATGTTCTGAGGATTATTTTTTGACTTATGGAGGAGCTCACAATTATTTTTAGAAGGAAATGACAAATTTTCATGGTATGCACCTTAAATACTTTGGAGGAAGTCACACCCCACCACCATATAAAAGGGGGCGGGGGTGTCTTGTGAAGAGTTGAGGCATTCAAGTCTAAGAGAAGTGAGCAAATGTGAAAGATCATTTGTAGCAGTTAGTGAGTGTTTCTCGTGTTATATCATTCCTTATAACTCAGGTGTAGGGTGATAAACTACTTGGAGGTGGTTTTTCAAGTTTCCACAACTTGTATTCTTAATTGAGATAATGAACAATTAGTTCAAGTGTTTCCGTTGACATAGGCAATGGTGCCAAATCACGTAAATTCATTGCCTTCCACTATTTTATTTGTGGGTTATTTGTGTGTGTTCTCATCTTCAACCCTTGGTGTGTTCTGCAATTTTTTCCAGCAATCAACAATACATAATCCACACACAAATAAATGTGTTTCAGTAAGCATATATCTGCATCCATGGCTCTACAAGACTTTATTCACCAACAAAAAATCTACAATTGCAATCACCCATCTCAACAAATCTTCACACCCTAAGCCACAATAGTCCCATCATAAAATCCTCTCAAAAAATGCTACTTAATATGCAGACGACAGGACATCTCATTTCTCCCCGTGGTTGCATCTGCACTAAGTTTCAACCAGAACAATAACATGCATACTAGATACACTTCATTCTTTACCAATTCACAAACTTCTTCATTTTCATCATTATGTAATGACCCCTCAGGTCACAGCGGTCACTGAAATTCTCTGCAGGACGTACATAATGTATGTCCCCTACTAAATAACGTATCAAATTTGTGGAGCATACTAGATCAGCCTTCCAGCCTAAAAAATTTAGCAGCTCTCCTTTGTTTTCCTTCCCCTATCTTTGTTGCTACATGCACTGGATTACCACATCAGTTCCCAATAGCATAGTGCCCATTATAGCATTTAGCAATGCACCATAATTTGCAGTGCTGTGCTATAGGTTTTAATGGGGAAATTTTCTGAGCTCTCTCTAAAAATGGTTGATATCTCTGCTTCTGGAAAAAGGTTCTTGATAACTGATATGTCCTACTCCTATTGATACAGATAGGTATACTATTGTTATTAATAACAAATATGTCTGAAATAAATCTCTCCTACCCCACCCCTTTGTTTTAGTTTTTGTTGAGAGGAAACAAGCCAACCTGAAAGACAGTAGGCTTATAATCTTATTAATAAAAGCTTTACCTGGATAGATGCTTTACAATGATTCACAGATAACTGTAATTCTCCCACCAAACAAAAAGCCTGGGCAAGGTTGTCTTCTGCCTGCAAGCAGCAGATCATGTACAGGAAAACGAAAGTTATACCATCATATTAAAAACATGAGATCATGTTTGTATATCACAGAGTATATCCTTCAATAGTGGTCACACATATACACAGACATTTAGAGTTTCACCAATGCAATCATTGAGTGCATGTTTGGATTTGCTTGTTTTGTGTTCAAACAAATTAATCAAGCTTCTAGGAATAGCTTTTGGAGAGGAAAAAAAATATTCCCAAACATGTGACTCATGTAATATTAGCATGATAATTATGTGTTCCAAGTTTGATCAATCAAACATTCATAGGTTTCTAATCTAATAGTTGATATTTACATATATTCTAAAATACATAAAACTATGGTGTTTTCTGTTACAGAGCTATACTCAATAAGGAGGAAAATAACAGCAAAAGCAATATGAATACTGAAATAAAATGGATTATAACACTGATAATGGAAGAATTACAGCAGCAATACACACTACTGTCCCAGAGCTGAAGCTCCTATAGAGAAGTATTTTCTCTATCCTTAACTAACTCCATAATTCTCTTTCCCGAATGCCTTCTCTCTCCCCCTTTCCTATTTTTTATCCTCCCATCCTCTCGTAACTAACTTTCAGTATGCCCTTACTCTCTTTCGTCCAGCTCATCATTCCCCCCTCATTCCTTTCTTATTCTTTCTCCTATAAACTTTCCAAATCTCTGGCCTCTGAACCAATTGCAGGCCCATCTGTTCTTCTGATCCATTAGGCCTATTTGAATTCGTATCATTTTCACACCCCAATAGGATGTATACACCATTGAGGAAAGAGAAAGATAAAAAGAGAAGTCAGAGAAAGTGATGTGATGTGATGGATGACATTAAGAGAGAGGAATAAAAAGATAGAGAGGTGTAAAATGGGGTGTGAAAAAATCATGGTTGTATATTGAAATGGAGTGATTAAATGCAGTAATAATTTGGGTTTAAGACTTTATGAAAACTTAATAGGCCTGATCTACCTCATGATTACTTTAATTCACATTGATTAAATTCAATGTTTATGAAGTTATTGAACAATGTTCACAGCTAGTATTAGCACAAAGATAGAAAAGTAAGCAGCAGGCTGAAACTTACCTCTGCAATAAGCTTGTTGTATGCATGCAAATTTGATTTCAACAAATGAAGAGATCTCAAAGCATCAGAAATAGTAGCATGTGAAATTTCTTTAGACAATATTGCATCCTGTAACCTGTCATTTTCATATTTGAGAATGTAAAGTGCTCAAAATTTAGCAGCTGTTTATTATTTACAATGAGCCCATAAGCAGGGTTTTTCTAGTTAGTGTCAAATTGGGAACAATTCAAGATTACTTGTGATTATATTATCAGAATAAAAGGAAAGGTGTACTTGGGATAAGATTATTTGAAGCCAAATTGAACAATTCATACCTTTTAATGCATATTAAAGCTTTATCAACTGCAGCATGTGAAGACTTCATATCACAGTAAGAACCACATTTCAAACAGTATCCAGGTTGAATATGAATAGAGGCACCATTTTGTTTGAACAAGTGAAAGCACACTTCATAAATGTCATCGCTCTTGTCAACCTGAAACAGTGAAGAGATTTTAAAGGGGGGAAAACACTTTCATCCTTGAGAGAGTGAAGACATGTTCATAAATGCCATCTATCTAAGCTTCCCAACCCATGACCAACTCATGAGACAGCAGGAAAATGCCAATTCCCTCAATGGTGGTGGTTTGTCAAGAAAAATGGTAATTGAAAAACTTTTGATCCATATAAGTTTCCAGTGAACAGTTCCATAAATATGGATCAATTAGAAGACTTTGTTATACCCAAATTTAACTGCATTTAATTCATGGTCAGGTAGCTGTTTTCAGAACTCTGCCAAGAGTGAAAAATGGTGGATCTAAGCTGCTTAGTTTTCAGATGCAAGTGAGAATGTTATGCATTTCAATCACAAGAATTGTTTTCACATTGTTACGGAGACTTCAAGAAAATCAAGACATAACTTCCGGCAATTTAAACTTTAGCAGCATTTATAATGCAGAGAACAGTAGTAATTCAGTATCTACAGATGTCCCTCTATATGGCTTACATTGTCAGTAATATGGTAGTGCTTGATTTTCTGCTTTTCACGGTCAAGTACTCTGCTTCCCAACACAGCACCAGAACAATTTGGATTGACACAATGAAAGCCATTGAGAACAAGATCAGATAGATTGACTTCTGAACAACCAGTACACTGACAATGAAATGCATACTCATCTTTGAGAAAATTAATGCGATCATCACAATCCCATAACCCAACCTGCAAAACATAACTGTACACTGAGCAATTGAACAAGACAACAGCACACATGAACTTGAACCCAGATGTCATAGACACACCATATCAACCTTATATTATATCATTCCAAGCCTCACTTTTTGCCTATCTGAGTAAAAACCATCTTTCAAAGCCATCATAACCATAGGAAAATTCATGATCCTACTAATTCTTTCCTCCTTTTCTCTCTTGTTTGAGATAAAAAGTATAGACATACTTCAAAATGCTCTAGTTAAAAAAAAAGGCTGACTAGCAAATTGTAGCAAATTAAATGCAACTTTTAATTACCAAGAGGAAGTTACCTGTGGACCATAAGACAATTCCAGCTGACTCCCAGCTGCTACAACTTTTGTGGTTCGTAAATAGAGAGTGCGTGAAAGAAAATATGCATGAACATTTGGTTGGCAAGAATGGTTGAATAAACTGCCAGCTTTATAAATACCTTTACCTACTCTGACCTGAGAGAATAATAGAATATGATTACATCATCAACAATATCTAAACTATAATTGTAGGACTTGGAATGATGTTTGCAAGTAAATATTGCACAAGCAAAAATTCATATCAAAGAAGAAAAATGATGCTATACCTGTTCCACATTACTGGTCAAATGAGTGTCAAAATGAGATGAAAATTCTCCAAAATGATCTGATAGTCTGGGAGTGTCTATCGATTTTAAACGAACAATAGTCATACAATTCACTTTAATTTGAGAAATAATAATGACAACCTGCATTAACAAAGGATGATGAAACTTCAAATGATAATTTTAACGATTCAAAGACAAGAAAGTCACAAAATAAATTGCATTCTTCAGCAAATACTTGCTCCATCATATTGAAAAAACATCCTACTACAAATGCAGTATGATGGTTCTGTTATGAATAGAATTAGAAGTATAAATAGACACATCCCCCTCCCTCCAACACACTCAGAGGAATGCCAAAACAACCTGTGATATAGAGACTCCATCTATGGAAAACATAGCCCCAAATGAGTGTTGAAGACAATATAATAATACACTGGCATATATATGTGAATCCAATTTGCTTTCAGATGGCATATGATTGTAACAGTGAGAAAGCTCCTGCAAAGGAAGGATAGAAGCCATAAGCATAAACTACTCATAATCAAATGACAAAATCAGCTGAACCAAAAAACTACATGCATTTAAAATATACCAGATTTTCCACGAATTTTATAATATCTTCAAGTGTACAATTCAGTAAAAACCTTGCTAGTATTCGGCCAGCCAAAACTATCTCAGACGGCAGTACCATAGGCCAATGTACACCTTGACATTCATGTTTATGTTCAGTAATATCCTTAATTTCTAGTTCAGAAACACTGCATTGAATAACTTCAGCAGCATATTCTCCAAGATCACTTGATAAGTTTTTAAGAATGTCATTATTTTCATGGAAGATCCTGAACATTTGCCCGCTTGCCTGTACTTGGCATTGGTGGGAGCAATACAATGGTATTGAACATGATATACAAGGAACTTTATCAGCAGGTAGCTCATTCAAGCAATAATGGCAATGAGTTTCTCGACATTGCTTTAATATTATCTGCAGGTTAAAAAAAATGATAGTTAACTTGAAAAAATAAGTTTGTATTCCTTTAAGAGTACAAATATACATCATAGAAAAACAATTTATCCATTGACCTCAAGCCTACAGATTCAAGTTTATAATTTATTGACAAAAAATTCATGTTTAGCATGAACCAAAAATCTCAAAAGTTTAAGTTGTTAGATGAAGAAAAATGGTTTATATTATTTTTCCAACACACCCCCTCTACTTTCACTCTTAATCACAGACACACATTTAAGCATCCTTCATCTTAGCAAATGGAAAGAGAAAAATAAATAAAATTCATTTTCATGCAGAATTTTATGACTATTTAAATGGAATCATGAACAGAATGTGTGGTTTACACAACAACAACAATATATAGGTTAGGTTTAAGATGTTGATTACTTCAATTGAAAGCACAATAGGGTAAATTGCGCATGAACCTAGGTTGAAGGGGGTCATTACATTTTAGCCAAAAGAAATTTAATTACAAACCAAATTTGGCACCATCCTAGCTGAATGAAGCCGTTAACATCACTGAAATTGGACATAAATAAATTTGTAATTCATGATATTACAGAAAATGTAATTCTTTCTTACCATAGCATAAGGTTCTTCAGCATGAACCAAAGACCCAGGTGAAATGACACATGATGACACCATGCCTCTTCCTTTATCAGGCATTGAGACACACTGTAGTGTTATTTGGGGGATCTCACCTGCCACATGCATTGTACCATATTATTATCTCAAGAAGAGTAAAAAGTAAATAGATTCTTTCAGTATTTTATACAAGAATAGCTGATAAAACTCATAACAAAAGAATAAAAGGAAAGAAGGCAAAGTATGATGTTGTTAAAAGTAGTCAGTTGCAGAATTAGTTGAGTGGTAAGCATAAATATTAAGAGAGCAAAAGATCATTTCTTCTGTTTAGTTATCATTTGAGAACTGAGAATTAGATTGGTCATAGCAAAGGGAAAACCCTGGGTAGGACAATTGTCTCCTTACATTCTTTGTTTGTAATTCAAAACACTACTAAAGCACTCTTTTTTATATTCTCTGTTTTTCTCTGAAGACCCATACCCTGTATCTGGATTCCTAACAAAAGTACTATGGCACAAAAGTACATATGAATTACACCAGATATAAAATAACACCGCCAATCAGGCAGGGGAAACAAAAAGTGACCTACAATCATTTTCCTAACAGGATTCACAAATTAGATATTTTAAATTGACATCTTCTAGCTAACTCAACAGGAAGTTGCATAATATGTGGTTAAATTGATGCATGTGATGTGAACTAATCCAGTTGTCTAATTTCTGGATGTAAGAAAAACAGCTTAATTTTTCTGTGCTGGAAGAGGGACTATGATCAATCTACAAACTGCAGACTTAAGAAGGTTATATCAATTTGAGTAACATAAAAGGGACAAGTATTTTTTTCCCCTCTTCTTTTCTTAATTTCTCTGTACTTGCTTCTCAGTCTGGCTACCTTATAGAACTGAAAAACCAGTTGCCAAAAGGTGTCCAACCTCTACTTTCTTTTCTTTTCATCTTCTGGCCCAAGTTGCCCAACAAACAATCCAATCAAACAACAGCATGAATGAGAGAATAAGAAATGAAGGATGAAAAGGGTGAGGATCATCTCAAACTGCACACATTTTATTCTGGGAATAAGAATCAAGAGAGATAAAGTTGAGGTCTTGTTCATGTAATGCAAGTGAATCTTTGAAGAACCTTTTTTGGGATGGAAAAGCAATAGGTAAAGAGGAAGTAAGCCACAAGTTAAAATAAAAACAAAAAAGTGTCAAGTAAAAGTGTGCGTCTACATCTTCTCCAAAACAGTGAGTTGTTCTCCCCAAGTCTAGCTGAGCTGCATAATTTAATTTTATAAGGAAAAGGGTGTCTCAGCTAAATTTCTTGGAGCAATAACTGAACCCCACTTGCTTTATTCTAGTTTTTTCCATTTAAAACTATTTACTTGGATTCAATTTTGTACAAGCCTAAATCAACATCTCAAGCTCTAAACCTACATAAATATTTCAATCCCCCATTGCAACCCTATAAACAGCTATAGAATATATTCTCTGCATCTACTACACTTCAACATACTGTTTTAAGGTTGAGGTACATTATTGTTGTCTGCAAGATTAATAAATTCAGAATGCAAAATTTCGCTTTAAATATACCTTAATGCTATACACATAATGAAACTGCAACTCAATAAAGCCTTGACCAACTAGATAGGTACTGGAGTCTGATGCTCAAGTTCTTAACAAGGAAACCTTCTTACCCACAGTTTTCAAGCTGTTCTCCTTATGCTGTGGCTGTACTACAGTACTCATGCCCTTGCACTGGTCTAAAATGGTATTCAGTTCACCTTCTATTTTTCTCTTCCCACTCATTGAAGATTCCATACTCTTAGCCACATTTAGGTCGCTGATCGCATCTTTATAATTTCCCAATGAAGCATTCACCTTACCTCTCCTGTACCATGCCTGAAGCCAAAATAATAAATTACTAAAAGAACTGAAACTAGAATTGAAGCTTGGATCCAATTTATTTGCAATAGACATCTAAACCAAGTATTAAAGCACACATTCCTAAAAATTAATTTGCACCATAACAGATATTGATAGATGAAGAAGCAAAGCATATCAAAATAAACATTACTTCAAATTATCATGTTGCTAAGCAAAATCCCAAAACATCCCCAATAAATTTGCAGTTGCACTTACAGCAATAAGGCAAAGTGCAAAAATAAATAAATAAACTGATAACTTTGTTTTGATGACTAACTCAGGAATATTTCAAACAAGAAGTACTAAAAACAGGAAGGTAAATGTATTTCTTTAACCCATATGAATAACTTATTCCACAAACATTTACTGGACAAATCGAAACAAATTGCTACAAATGAAAAAATTCAACAATTTCTACAACAGCGTGTAACCACTCAAAACAAGTAATGTAGGAGGAAAAATCAGTAACTACTAAACTGATTTTCACCTTTGGATAGCTTGGACATATCTGAAGAGCTCGAGTGCAATCTCGCAAACATTCAACTAAAAGACTCATTTTCTGCACGAATCACACATGCATGAATATTTTACAGCAATATCAAGCCTTTTATTTCCTGAAAAAGTGCGAGTGCGGTTAGGGACTCAAGGCTGACTTTAAAATGGAACTTACATGCAATACAGTAGCTCGATTGATATACAACGTTGCAACCAGATTATGGCCAGTGTCCAAGGGAGCCTTGCGCAAGGCCTATACCTCATATTACAAGAAGTGAACAAGTAAGGAACAGTGAGACTTAGACTTAACTAAATTTTTCTTTAAGACCAAAAGGGTACAATATAACATGCAGAACCGTTAAATCGACTACGAACGCACAATACGTTTCAATCTCCTACACGAGAGAGAACGATTGAAAAAGAAGAAGGAACCTGAGTATAGCACTCCAAAGCCTTGGCATAATCTGCGTTGAAGAAGCACTGATTGCCAAGCTGTTTCGATTCCAACGCAGCGTCCTTACTCTTACCGCACAGAGCATATTTAGGATCGGCCAGTTCAGTGACCATCTGAAAACAGCAGCAGCGAAGAGTGAGAACGAGAAATTAGGGATTGGTTTGATTGATTGGCAAGAGAGAAGGTTTACCTGCTGAAATGGCTCGAACTGGAGAAAGAAGTGGTGAAGAGAAGAACACGTGTTGCGAAGATCATCGACAGTGCTATCGCCAATCACTCGCTTCAGGCCTTCTGGAATCGCAGCTTTAAGAGTCTCCATCTTCTCTTCTAAAACACTAGGAAGTACTCACTCAACTCAAACAAACAACCCCCTTTCACCTTCCGCTTTCTTTCCCTCGCTTTTGTTTCCACTTCCTTTGCATTTTATCAAACTTCACTCGTTTTGCGTTTGAAATACAATGGCATTATCAACCTGTAGGACTTCTTTTAAAAAGTTTTTTAGTTGCGACTTGTTTTGGGTATGGGATTATTAACCTTATAGAAATAATGATAATAACATTTTTTTAAAAAAATTATGTTATTAATTTTTAAAAATATTAATTGATGAGATAAATATGTTAATTTTAAAAAATATTAGTTATAAAAAATGTGTTGAAGAGTTCTCTTGAAAAAATATGTTGTTAGTATTTTTTTTAGGATTAATTTATTTTTATATACATAATAATTAGCTTAAATGTAATAAAGTTTTATAAGAATTATTGTATTGAATAAGAATATCATATTTTTACTTATTAAAAATGTGCAGAAGAACTTATGAAGAGTTTATAAAAACAACTTATTCATTTATAAAGTTTTTTTAAAATTTAATTCAATAAACTTTTTAGTGTAATTTATCTCAATTAATTTCATAATCACTTTTATATTACAATTGATCACGTAATAAAAGTTCATTGAAATAGTACTTAATTATAAATAAAGATGAAATATTACTTAATTAAGCTACTTACCAAAGCACTTTAAATCAATTTAAGTTTATATGAGAGTATTACAAAAATATGAATTTTTACTTATTAAATCTAAAAATATTTGATATTTTAACTATTTTCTCTCACAAAAAAGGTTGGATTTGCTCCATACTCTAGTGACAGAAAAGTTAATTGTTGTAGCATAACGTAGAAATTGATAGTTGTAGCATTTTTATGTTTGACAAATTAAAAAAGACATGATCCTTTGTGTATTTATATACCATCAATTGTTGGCGTTGAGACTTTGTTAATGAATAATTTGTAAGTATCTTTTGTAAGCACTTTTTGAATGTTGAGACATACTTTGTTTTTATGAACTTTTGAGATCCAACTCACCTAAGTTTTTATTTAAAAAAAAAAAAAAACTAGTAGAATGTTAATTATATTTAATCCTCTTTGTACCTAAACTATGGATACCTGCTGCCTATTGATAATCAACTACTCTAACTTTTATTCACTTGCAATCGAGTCTTATAAACAGACCACTGATAAAAACATCAAAGTACATATACTATTTATATATTATTATTTTGCTAATTCATATACTGACTTGAGTATTGAAGTTCTTTTAAATATTTAGATTGGTCATTTTTTTTTATAATATTTACCTATATTATTAAATCTATCAATAATGGTTAGATTGCTCTATAGTTTATACTAATCACTTTGTGTATATTATTATATATTGAATGGTTGGCAAATAATTGTTTAATTATTTTATCATAGTTTATTTTTAAGTTCAATTTAGAAAGTAATTGCAACATCGACTAGAGGTACGTTTATCTTCCATTGTAAATCGATTGCTAGAAAAAGAGTAAAATAATCTCCTACAGATTATGTCAAACCCTTATTTGACCATTAATTTATCAATTTTATTTTACAAATAGAGAATCAAGCATGCTCTAAATAAATTTTGAAATTACTTTAAAATAAAATTTATAAATTATTATTTATAATTTATTAATACGTACCTTATATTGCATAAAAAAAATTATTTCAAATTTCTTAAATTGAACTACAATGCTATACAATTTAAAAAATAATACAATTGGTATAGTATACTTTTAGATTTTGTTGGAGAGTTTAGAGAGAGAATAAAATGATTTGAAAAATAAAGAAAAATAAAGATAAAAAAAAGAAGAAAAGGATTAATACAAAATCTTTAAGTTTAGAAACTTTAAAACATAGGATTAAATAGTAAAAAAAAATAAAAAATATAAGATTAAGAGAGTATATAAACTCTCAACGTCTTATCTAAAAATTCTTAAATATGGTTAAATATCACATAAGTTTTTTCTATGTCTCCAGAAACTAACTCACAAACAAAGCTTTAGACTTAGTTTGAGAATCTGATGATAAATGAAACAAGAGAGGAGAAGAGGAAAGATAGTTAATACTCAATATTTTAAATTGAAAAAACTTAAAAACATGAAAATGTTAAAAGGTCTATGAAACCTCATCCTTTCATCTAAAATCTTTCAAATAATATTTTCATCACTTAATTATTTTCTTTTCCTTCTTTTTTTTTTTCTTCAAAATCTAACTCTCAAATTATTATGCAAATTTTTTATAAATTAAAAATTATACAACTTGCTATAATAGCTTTTTTTTTCTTGAATATCATGCACAAAAATCCATCTTTATGCATCCAATTACGCACCTTAATTTTAAACACTACACACTTATTAAAAAAATGAAATTTATCCAAAAATATATAGATACTTAAAACATTTATGCCCTTGGTTAAATCAGAAAGAAGATTTTTGGTGTACTTTTTTAAATCTTCAGTTTAGGCCGCATTAAAAAATAATTAATTGTCTGTAATTTTTAATTCTTTTATTTCTCTTATTTATTATTTTGACATTTGATATACTATTTTCTCTCTTCTTTTAATAAAGATATAGTTAAAATCATGGTTAATGATACATTTAAGTTTTAAAACAACAAATCAATAGAAAGATAAACAGATATATTTTACAAACGAATCCACAAAAAAATAAGACAACTGAAAATGTGACTTTGAAGTTTGAACTCTCACTTCCTCTTATGGCTCCTTTTGAAGACTCCTACAAGGTTAAATTGGACCTTCTTTTAAAGACATTATTCAATAAGACATCCATGCTGGTTTCATTTTTCTTGTGCCAGACAAGGGCATGGCAAGAACAAAACCTGACTCTGTACCACTGAATTTATCCAAGAGACGTTTGAGTAAGTCACCTGCTATGTAAGTTATTCCCGAGGCTCCAAGTGCTATGCCGACATACTTTAACACCGTTTTGATATAGGATTTATGTGTTGTTGTAGTGCAGTAAACTTTCCCAACAGTAAGTACAATGATGCATACAACAGAAGCAACTGCCACAACTGCAATCTTAACTTCAGCATAGAATTGGTCACTAATCAAGAGGCCATAGACAACAAGGGGAACAGACCCAAAAATTACGAATGATAAAACAGCTACAACAGCATGGAGTAGGAAATTTGATCTGCGACCAAGTAATTGTTGATACCGATCTTCTTGCTGTGAATTCCCTTCAGAGTTATCATTTTTCAATTCAATAAGCTGTGTTGAAAAGGGGGGAAAAAAGCTTTAAGTTAGTTTAAATGGACTGTAACAGAATGACTTGAAATTTCAAAGCTTAAAAAAATTATTGATATACTTTTCAACTAAATAAATTAAATTTTTCAATCAGTGTCCTAAGACTGGATATTGGTTAGCATTCGTCCTAATATTTTAAAAATATTAGTTATTATGTTGAAGAGAATTTTTTTTCTCAGAGAGACATTAGGATAGAATTATAACTGACAATGAGGAACACATGGAAGGCACTCACATTATGACCAATGACGAAAAGTCCACTAATCAGATTCGCCAACCCCAAAGCTATAATACTCACTGCAATAAACACAAGACCAGAAAATTAACACATTGTTAGCAATCCAAATGTCAAATTCTAAAATATAAAATAAATTCTAGCAAGTTAGATCACTATGGAAAACAGCAGTGTCCTTTTTGTGTTTTTGAATTAAACTATACTTTTAAGAACCAAATAAAGCTTATGGCGGAAGCTTCAATTAATGAACATGTCCACTTGGTATCTTCTGGTTTTACCATTTATAATTTGATCGTTAGTGTGGTGATTTCATGTAGACTTTTACAAATAAACTTGCCTCATTTTGTTATTTTGTTTAAACACAGGACGTCAATCTCTATTCATTTATTTTCTATGTACTTAACCATTATATACCTCAAATTAAGACCTATTAAGCATCTGTATTGAGAAAGTGAAAAATTCACATACAGTGAGATAACTATAATATCTAATTAATTGATCGTAACTCTTGAAAAGAACCTTAATTCAAAGCACTTACATGGAGCAGCATCAGAACCAGCAGCAGATGACACAATCCCCAGACTAGTGATTGATTCAATTAAACCACCATACACAATGCTTTTAACCACTTCCAAGCCTTGGGGCTCACCAATTTCAGCCCTTGGTTGTTCTTCAACATCTATTTGAGTCTGAGTTTTTGTCACAACAGCTTCTTCAACTGGAACATTATCTGCTGTCTGAGATGTTGAGGATCTAACTGCTTCTGCCTCAACTGAAAAACTTCTACATTAGTAACAGAATACTTATAAAAGTTATGGCTATTACACAAAAATAAAACCTGATAGATTTCTCATGGAAACACAAACTTCAAGAAAAATAACGTGAGCATGAATTCTTATTAATTGATGATAAACTTACAGCAAGTTCTTTCGTGTTCATACCTTTCTTTTCTTCTGAAACACGATTTATTTCCTCTTCAATATCCTCTTGCACATTCCTAAATTCTTGATCTGATGGAATTGTAACATTTACTTCAGAACTTTGTTTGTCACAAGCTACATCATTTGAAACTACTGAAGTGCCAGATGATGGAGCTGGTGATCGTGCTTCCTCCATCAAAGAGGAATAGCTATCATGGGCAATTTTGGGTGCCTTGTCTACATCTTTCTGTGACTTCTCCAAGATTGGAGACCCTTCATCATATGGTTTTACGATGGCATCTTTTGCAGGTTTCCCACAGCTAAAATCTACTTCAGAACTTTGTTTGTCACTGGCTACATCATTCGAAACTGCTGAAGTGCCAGATGATGGAGCTGGTGATCGAGCTTCCTCCATCAAAGAGGAATAACTATCCTGAGCAATTTTAGGTGCCTTATCTGCATCTTTCTGTGACTTCTCCAAGATTGGAGGACCTTCATCATATGGTTTTACAATGGCATCTTTTGCAGGTTTCCCAGAGCTAAAATCTATTTCAGTAGCAGGAACAGTTGCTAGTGGAACACTACCAGGTTTGGATATATCTGAAACAGTATTATCAGACAATGACATATCTGCAGCAGCATGCATAATTCAACAAGCAACTGAAAGACAATTATGCAGGTTTTGGAATTTTATAATGTTTCACCAAAATAAAAAGAGAAATTGCTTATAGCTCATGACCATGAGGCTTAGCTTCTTATTTAAAAAGCTTCATTTATTACTAACTAGCCTTCAAAGATGAGCCTTTGATGGTGGAATGTTAGGTAACCACCATTAGTAGTTAGCTATGATATGGTAGTTACACATCAGTAGTCTATTATAGTATATCAGTTAGTTAACCTGAATTTATTAGTTTGGCACTTGGGTGGGCTGAGATACTAGAAAAAACAAGGCATGTTGCTGGTAAATAAGAGGATAAGTAGCCTTAAGTCCACAGTCCACATCATAATCCCATATTCCCATCTCTACAATTGAGGTTGCAGCTGAGGGACATGGTGAAAAGCTTTAATATTAATAAGAACCTTGAGAAAATTACATTACAAGAGCTAGTTATTGTAGTTTGAGACCCAAGGCCTTATAAACCCACACAAGAATCCACTATTTCTATTATAGGACTCAAGTCTGGTACCTTACAATTGGATCCTAACATGAAATCAGTGTCAATAAGGAATTACCTTTCCAAAACATATAGCTTACTTATGTTGCCAAATTCATAACGCAATGTTGGATAATATGATTTTTCCAGGTTTGTATTATTGAAAAAGACAGAAATCAAAACAAAATCAAGGAATTATCATCTTTAAACAAACATACCGGTCTTTATCATATCAACTGAGGCATGTTTTTTCTCTTCCACATCAGTTCTCACATTTTCAGTCAAAATCTGTTCCCTTGCTGGAAAATCTATAAAATCTCTTATAACCTTCTGCAATCCATTCTGATCAACAAATGGTTCATTCCCCAATGCCTTACTGGATTTGCCATTTTCTATCAGTGATTCAAACTTTTCTTGCTTCACTTTTGAGGGAATCAGCGAACTTACTCCTCCTTGTCCAGGCTCAGTATCTGGTGTTGGTTTTGCTTCCTTAGTAGTATCTGTATCAGCAAATGGACTTTCTGGATCACCAATTCCAGAGGAGGTTGGCACATTGGTAGATGAAGATGATTGAAGCTGTTCAGCAGGATCACTTCTAGCAACAATTGAAGCATCACCTACGCCGATATGTCAAGAAAACAGCCTTTTTAAGTGGACGCTGAAAGATCTCATTACTAAAAAATTGAATCTCGAGTGAAATTCATGGCACGCAAAGTGCATGATTTCTAATATTTGTTATTCCAAATTTCTACTGCTCAAGAAAATTGCTGGACTAACATCTGTTAATAATGGTAATAATTGTAAAGAAAACCACGTTGATATATTAATCTCAACCGTTAAGATTGAGATTAAGTACAGTAAATTTTTATTAAAAAATAATTTATTATATTTAAAGTTATACAAATGATAAATATTTTTTAAATTATTATACTTATTTAAGTTCAAAATTATAGACTGAGATTAATATCTTTTTAATAAAACACATATTAGTTGTAAAACCAAAAGGAATACAGAGAAATCATGAGTTTAATATTTTGTGTTCTGAAAATAACTTTTTCAGAGTATTATCATATTTAAATAAACACATAAATTTTAATTAAATATTTCTTTGATACAAAAATTGTGTAATTTCGATTTAATTTCTATAAATTTTTTATTAAAATATAATTTTATCGTTTTAAGAATTATTATTTTTAGTCTTTAAATCGGATGTGGTGTAACTAAAAGTTGACACATTATAGTAGTTCAATAAAATACATTAATTAGAAAAAAAAAATTTAAAATTATATCTTAAAAAAATTATAGATAGTAAATTTAAATTAAATAACTTTTGTAGGATAAAAAATTTTGTTAATTCTTTTAAAAGAACTGTGACAAAGAAACTTCTCACATGCAGTATTATAAAATATGAGTTTTGTTAATTTCAACTTTTAAGGTTGAGTTTAAATATTCACAAATAAAAAAATTTTATAAAAAAAATATATAGTTATTTTATTAAAATTATAAAAATATAATAAATATTTTTTTTCTAATAAAATTTTATTATTATTAATTGTCTTCGATCCTTAAAGCTAAGGTTAATAAAATTTATAAAATATATTAAAAAAAAAAAAAAAAAAAAAAGATGAAAAGAATGATATAGTTTGGAAGAGGTGGGGCCTCCCCGGCCCACCCTTCTCAGTGTCTCCACTAAGAAGTAATTATTTATCACTATTATTAACAATACCTTGCCCACTAGTTTTTTCCCCCTTGTTGGAAGTAAATAGAGTGAATAACCAATTTGCATTGAAAGCTGCTACCGTTGAAGGACTTTCAATATTGGATGCAGGTATAACTGAAGGATTTGGTGAAATTTCAGGCTCACGGGTGCCACCAAAACTGGGGAACAGTTTGATTCCATTTCCTGCCAAAGTAACTAGATGTTTTAGCTTAAATAGTTGATTAGCGCATAAGCATCACAAATCAGTCCAAATATGATAACAAAAGTTTCAGTTTACACGAAAGAAATCCAAGCACAAATGTCAGGATGATATAACCTCTGAATCCATAACCAGATATGTTCAAAGTGCATAACCAGACAGATATCTTCAAATGGAATATTTTAAACCATATAATAAAATAGGATTTTCTTTATCTCAAGTACTAAATTTAAGTATTCAAAATAAAATTTTATTAGAAATGATCATATTTATTACATTAACGTTATAAAAGCGTGATAAATATTTTTTTAGTGCTTGAACTCCACCTTTAAAAATAACATTTTTCAATAAAATTTAAAATCTAAGACTCAGGAAAGGTAATCAACTTACTCATAGGAATAAAGAAGCTGAAGCATGATAAACATCTGAATACTTCTGGTTCTCTTTCAGGCTCATAATTATCAGCAGGTGGCTCTACTCTACCGACATCAGATGTTGCAACTGCAGGAACACCTTGGTTGGCTTCATGTACAGAACTACCAACCAGCTCAGTCTCTGACTTATCACGCTTTGCTTTGGTGTCTAAGTTAGGAATGGTCCTTTTTCTCTTCATGAGGATAACCCTTTTAGTAATGCAAGACTTGCAATTAGGACAAAACAAGTCATGTGTCTCTTGTTTTGCCAATACTGCCTCAACATCAAACCCTTTCAGTTGCTGGTCAATTTCTTCTGTTAAGTTAGGATATGATATTGAACTGATGTCATCACCAAAGTTCTCAACAGTTGTAGCTTGCACTTCAGATGATTTATGTAAAGGTGATAATTCTGATCCAAAATGGACTTAGTCACCGACCAAAAGAATACTTTAAGAATAAGAAAGTGAAAATGACCATATGTTAAAGCAACTCCAAAACAGCCAACAATTGGATTTATAGAAAATCTGAACAAACGTGGTTCATGTCATGTAGACATTCCAACAATTAAAAGATTTTAAACACAACAAATTAAAGATTCAATGGTATGATTTGATCCATCAAAATTTCAAGACAAAAAGTTACTGCAAGGAAAGGTTTTTCCAAATCAATATGGAGAGCTCATCCTATTGGATGACTGTGCAAGAACCCCGATCACAACTGCTAATGTGTGCTTGAGAAATCTTGGTTCCAACGGACCTTTAGTTTCACAAACAAAACATGGGCCATGTTGAATCATAGTTTTGACATTCATCAGCAAGTCAGAGTACCCAATAAGATTCTCAAGAGTCACATTCCAAGTACTGTCAAATTGCTTGGTCCATGTGCAGTGATGACATTTCCAAATCCCTTCATGCATTAAAAAAATTATGACATGCGTACTCCTTAACTAAAACCAGAATGGCAAAAACTAATTCCCAGAAATTTGATATACAAAGGAATACCATAAGTAGAACATCCGTCATATATATTATTTGGTACAATCAAGTTAAATCTTCTATGGTGAATATTATGACTCCAAATACCCAGAGTCCCAAATCAACATTAGCATATTCATTTTAAGTTTTTTTAACCATGGACCCAAAAAAAAGCTTTCAACCCAACATCAATAAAACATCCCGAGCTTCAGAACAATTCACACTAGACTTGAGAACTTAATTTCATGGGGAAAAAGGTTTAAATATATTCTGGGGTTGGTATATTTTCACAAGATTTTTATTTTAGTCCCTAAAAAATTTTTCTTTTAATCTTAGTTTCAATTATTTTTTAAATTCAACGCTCTTAATTTTTAACGATGATGTAAGATAATAAATAATCAATACATATTAATCTCTTACCTAGTCACATTATTACTAGAATAAAAAATATTAAAGTAAAATAAATCAGAAATTAATATTTAAGGAAAATACACTTAAGGAATATAAACATTTTTTATAAAATAAAAACACGCGTACCCCACAATGGTTCCTGTGGTAAGCAAATAGAAAAGATAAAAAAGGAAGAAAGAGAGATAGCATGGGACCTTGCTGTTTATCAAAGTAAACAATATTCTCATTCTGCGGAGCAGCAACATTGATGGCATCATTGTTTGTAGCCTCTTCATTTATTTCATTTTCTACAAACACAGTTGCAATATCATCGTTGGAACGATTGTTATTTCCAATAACATTGCTATCACTTGTTTCTTCAACTTCTTCCTCTTTCTGAGTAGCACCTTTTTTCTGTTCGTCTTGGTGAGTATGACACTCTTCCTCCTTCTGAAGAAGAGGTTGTTCTTCCATTGAGGCTGAGTCATCACCATCACCAATGTTAATGAAAGGAGCAGAAGAAGCTACGTCACTGGCGATGATGATATCATTTCGAACATGAAGGGGCTTCCTTGGATCCAAAGCAGTATCTTCTTGCAGTTGTTGTTGTTCTTCTTCTTCCTCGTCTTCAAGTACCCAGTGATGGTGCACTTGCTCCATTGAAACTGAAGAAGAAGAAGGGACATAGAATGTAACGAAGTTTCTACTTTCGGAAGACTTGAAGGATGCTCTTAACATATTCACTCGCTGTCACAGTAGATAATGCTGAACTTTCTCCACTCGTTTCTCACCACTTCCCTCCATCAAGTTGTCAAGGGAATTTTTTTATAAAAATTGCTTTCTTAATTTCAATTATTAGAAGTGAATGTTTGAAAATATGTTTGCACAGATGTAAAAATATTTTGATTATTATGTTAATATATTTGATAAGTTTGAATTAAAATTAAGTTTGAATCTAAATTTAAGCTTGAATAAATGTGACAAGTTATAGTTTTTATTAAATAAAAAAACATATTAACTTTATTATAGTTTTTAAATATATATTACATTAATTCAAACTTACTTTTAAGTAAAATTAATTCTATAAAATTATATTTATTTTAAGTTTAAATTTGCAAATAATCACCTTATCACTCACTTAAGCTTGAATAATTGAAGGTAAGAAATATTTAAAATATTTGTAATTAAATATGTTTTGATAAAAAAAATTACGTAATTTATTTAGACGTTAACAAACTTTTTTTTAAGTGCGGCAATTTTTGTGACACTCTCAATTTTAGGAGATATTTATTGAAATGTGAATTATAGTGTAAAATTTAAAATTTAAAGAAAAATAACTCTCTTGATTGCTAAAAAAATATATATATTAATTTTGTCTTTTTAATATTTAAAATTTAATAAAAATATATTCTTTTAAAATGAGTTGAGTAGTATTTTTGTACATTTAAAAAACTAAATAACTGCTTCTTTTAGTTTGGTACTAAAATATATGCCATTTTAGGTGAAATAAATCATTTGCATTTATTTCTGAAAAATTAATTGAAAAACTAGTACTTTGTATTCCTAGGAATTGGTTCCATGCTTTCGATGAGAGAAAATTCAGAAGCGCATGAGAATTTTTGGAGGGAAGCATTAAACAAACCTAGGGACAATTTTGTATTTTCACAAGCACACCAACAACTATATTTATGTTTTTTTCTGGATGAGGGGTAAAATAATTTAAAAAATGAAATAGATCATTATTTAGATGGACATTTCATATTTTCATAAGTATTAAAACTATATTTATGCTTTGTTTTTATGACATTTGGGTAATAATTAGAATAAAAAATTATTAATAATTGTATGCATTAGATGTTATGATGGAATTTTACTTTGTTAACTTAACTTACCTTAAAAATATTGGAGGACTTTAATAAATATTAATACGTGGCTATTTAGTTTTCATTTGATAAAAATAAATTTAAATTGTCGAACATAATTAAAATGCATACATTAATTATTTTGAACCACATTTTTTTATTACAACATTTGTTTATTTTTATTTAGGAGCGCAAGAACTATTTTTTCAGCTTTAAACCAAAAAAATTATACATTAACTTATTTTATAACTTTATTTTTTAATTATCATACTAAAAGTCATATAATTCACTTTATTCATATTAAATTACAACAATTCTATCTAATTAATTTATGTACTTGGTGATATATAATATTATACTTATATTATAAACATTGGACTTAAATAAAATATTAATTAAAATATTATATATATATATATATATATATTACACTTTTTATCTAATTTTAGATTGTCAAATAATTTCTCTTGTTTTTAATAGTATTTATTTAAACGCCAATTTATATATATTATAATTAATTTATTATATAAAAAATTTTATACTAATAAATTTTATAATTCTGAATCCTTTTAAGAATTTGGAAAGAGAGAAAAAAAATTGAAGGGTAAAAAAAATAATACAAAACCTTACTATTAGAAAAACTCAAAAATATGAAATTATAAATTTTTCAAAAATTTAAAATTTTTTAAACAAATATAATCATCACACAAATTTTATTCTTTTTTAAAAAAAAAACTAACTCTAAAATAAATCATGAGTATAGTATGCCACGGTCGAATCCAAATTTTTGACAGCGTTGGACAAGTTGAATGCGAGAGACAAAAGAAATAAGTCAGTTTAATTTTTTTAATTTAATCTATATATTTCTGGTTCTTTTGTTTCTTTAAACTAATTAAGTTTTTTATTTTTAAAATTATGTATATTTGATTCCTCCATTAATTTTATTTTTCTTAAAATTTAAAAGTGTTATTTTTATTCAAATATTTGAGGTTCTATGGTAAATTTACTAAATAAAATAAATTTCAACGTTTACAAGTCAAAATTTTTTAAGAAACTGACAATATTTGAAGAACTTATTAAGATGTAATATTGAATATTGAAGAAGAAAAATTTTGAATTTTTTATATTTTAGTTGAAATTCGACGGTTGAATTTGTATATTGCAAGGAAAATAAGATTTAAAACAATATATTTAATTCAATTTATATAGAATTTTTTTTTAAAATAAGATTTTGATGTTTTAGGTGAAATAAAAAATAGGCAAAATACTAAATTTGTATAACTTTAAATGTAAAAAACTTTAATCAGATAAGAAAATAATAGAACCAAATTACATATATAGCAAATTAAATATATTTAAAATATACTTAAGCTAAATAAGTATTATTAAATAAATATGTACTATAAAAAGATAAAAATAATTTTACAAAAAGTACTATTAAAAGATTACTATATAAAGCATAGGATAAATAATAAATTGATCTTTAAAAATTATGAGAAATATAATAATTTTAAAAAAATTAATCACTTTAATTTTTAAAAATTAAAAATATGAGACAATTAATATTAAGTAGATAAAAAATTAACATATTTTTTTTATTTGATTTAATTCAAATTCAATTTGGATCACGTAAAGATCACGGAATTAAATATAGTAAGTGAATCTGTAAATTTTTTATATACATAAAGACTTAAATATAATATTTTACCTAAACGATATTAAGCCACAACTTACGTTTATTAATAAATTAATATGTTTTTTATTTATAATTTTAAAAAACTATTTTACATTATTTTCTAAGAACTAAAATGAGTCAAACACAAATTTTTACCCGTTGAAATGAACAGAACTGCATACACTCAGTCCTATGCCTGCAAAGCATCAGCAAGGGCCGTACCAAGTCACATACATATAATCGGTTCTTTACATATGCTTTCTTATCTTAGATTAGATAAATTTAATATTTTCAATTTACTCTCTAATTTTATTTTATTTTTTGGTATTTAGTCATCTCAATTAAAATAGTTTTACTCTGTCAATCAACCTCAATTACTAAGGTATTCTGTGGGAAGAATTTTTTGGAGAAAACAGGAGAGGATAAATTCTTATTCAAATATGCTCCAAAAATCTATTTTGTTCAAATTAATCCCAACCTTACTAATATATCTAATATAATTTCAGAACTTAAATTTTGGTCCAAGATTAATAGTATATTTGTTTCTATTTTAAAGAGAGTTTTTTTAAACTAAAATAAATAAAAAATTTGGTAGTTTTTGTTTTTCTTTTTCTTTTATTTCTGTGAAGAAGAAAGCAACATGCAAGAAAATAAATATCACTAAGTAAAATAAAATGGATTTAGAGATTATTTTAAGGTGTGAATACTGACCTACTAATTTAGATATATACAAATTAGTTTTTTATATTTAATTCAATACTTATAATTTTTTTTTACATTCACTTATTTTTTTTTTACATTCATTTTTCATTTATTTATTGATTTCTTTCTTTTTTATTTTTATCACATTATCAATTACATATCTTATATTGTCTCCTTCTATTTTTCTTCAACTCACACTTCACCAATATATATACGCACCATTACTCTATTCAATGATATTAAAATTAATTAGTTAAGTTAAAATATTTAACGAATCATTAGATAAAGTAATTATACGTGTGTTGAAATTTTATAGCTAAATATTCATTAATTATTTTAATCACATGTGTAGACTTTATTAGTGGTTACGCATAAATTTGGTTAAAAACTTAAAATTAAGGACAAGATATATACTACATGTGACACAAATTACACACACAATACATTAAAATGATAGAATTTAGAGTTAATAAAAAGTTATTATATATATTAACAATAATCAGTTCTAAAAGATAACTTAAAAGAATATTGTTTAAGTTGTATAAAAACCATTTAATTATATTTTAACACATATTTTGTCAGATTACACATTCTTGACATTAAGATTAGATAAATACTCTAATATCATATATTAGAGACTCTACTTAACTCACTGTCAATATTTAGTTAAAAGAAAAATGATTGTTTAGTCTTTTATATAGAGTTAGAATTTGTCAATCAGGTGTAACATTTGAATTTAAAGTTTTTTATTAAACAAATTAGTTTTATAAAAAATAAAATTGATAAATATTTTCTTTTATTAACTGTTATATTTTTAAAATATAAATAAATATTAAATTTTGAATAATATATTTACAAATATTCAAATCATGTAAATTTTAATATAAATAATTATAAAAATAATATAAAATAATTAAACGATTAAAATAAATAATTTTGCATTATATATAAATTTATTAAGTTGTGTAAATATACAAATTTGACACCTTATTACATCAACAAATTTTACTTCTTTTAAATTATAATATTAGTCAATATGAAATTTTTAACAACACAATGCCACCTCTCATTTAATTCTGATCTCGTGTGTGTGCAAAATTATATTAAACTTGATTAACAATAATATAACTTGAAAAAATTTGTTTAATAAAAACATTAATACGCTTTCGTGTTCATTATAATAATATAATATATTGTAAATCAGTTTAAAATAAAATGCATATCATTAACATTATAAATAAAGAGGTATATAATTGTTATATTAAATATTAAACTTCATTTCCTTCTTTGTTATATCCTGTCACTTAATTACAATTGTTTATAATTTCATCTAAAAGTGTCAAACTATTAGCAGCCTCCTTGCCTTGCTAAAAGTTTCTTCCACCCCATTTAGAAAGAGTTAAATTTTTTAAATTAACTCGTCTAAGGGTAAATTAGAAAGCTAATGAGCTATCTACCAAAAATAATAAAAAAAATTGATAAACCAAT